TGTCCTAATTTGTAGATCGCTTTGGATAAAAGCGTCTGCTAAATGACTAAATGTAAATGTAACTATCTATATATAAAAACAATGTCTATGTAAAGTCCCCATTTAGATAGCTCAGTAAACGTTTGTGTGTGTGTGCGTGCAAGCGTGAACTATTTTGTTGATTGTATTTTGTGTTTTTGTAGGAGTGCTTTTATTTTGAAAACCACCGGACCTAATGTTGTTGTTTTTTTATCACCGACTTCAACGACTAAACGTGTCACGTTAACTACCGCCTCTCGTGCTTTTCTTGTTTGGCGAATGCTTCCGTTCAAGCAAAACCAACAGCATTTTAAATAGCTGCGTTAATGCATTGTCGACGAACTGAACAAATATATATTTTTAAAGATGCCCCAAAATGGTTAAAGTCAAGGCGTTCTTCCGGTTCGCTTCCGGTTTCTACGTCTCGCGTTTGGCACGAGCACGTTTACAGCTGCGCTTATTTCTGCTCAAACTCACACACTTGTATAACTTCTCGAGTCTCAGCAAATATCCGCAAGCTCCACTGATCACTTAGTCAGTCAGGTAGTACAAGTCTTCTTTTAATCCCAGTCGCTGCTAATACAGTACTATTCCTGCACGCGTGGAGTGTAACTATGTGGTGATGGAGAGAGACTTGCTCAGACAGTCCGTGTCGTATCATGGGGAGAACCTGCTGGCGCTGTTAAAATGCGAGCAAAGTGAGAACCCAGACTTTAAACGTGTGGCTGCTGATCTCTCCAAAACTCCCAATCAAAGGTAAGAGACGACTTGATAATAGCTGCACGTGATTATTTGTATCCCTCATATCATACTTGTGTTGCATTAATTACTCACCTGCACGTGGCTACAGACGTGTGCGACTGGTTTTCTTCTGTGGAGATATTTAACAGAATGTTCGCGCTGTTCTGTTCCGTACCGTTTCTTCTCAGAAGTGCTTGGAGTTCTTGCAGTTCTCAGTTTATATCTGAGAACTGAGAGAAAAAACTCTGAATTGTGAGATGAAAAAGTGACTTTTTTTTTATCCCGGAGCGGTAACAGTTCTTCCATAGACCATTTGTCAAGTGAGAATATTATTCGTATAACATTTTGATAATGTATTGCCAATAAATGAGCGTCATGTCATTGGTTTGAAACAGGGATCCAGAAGAGGCGAGTCCTGTCCTGGAGCAGTTCATAGCAAGGAAAGCTGATCTTCTGTTTGCAGCGTCGTGGAAGACCTCTACACCAGCAGATGAACGGCAGGAGGAACCTGGAGGTGAACGGCCTCATTCATTTCTAGTGAAATTCAAAGGC